AAGCATAGCGGACACTGCAGAGGAAATCACCGTAAAGGGGCACAATGATGTTTTTGACTTTTGATAAAAGCCGACCCGAATAACGTTCAAGAGGGAGCGGAATACGAGAACAGACGAGGGCAAGACGTAACGTTAGCTAGCACGTGATTTGCCCGGTCATCAGAATAGAAGCACCACTGCAAAACGCTCGTCCGACCCTTTCATTCGACGTTTCGCATTCGAAATTAGCAGCGGAGAGGAGAACTTTGATGTTCGAGTCGCTATGCTGGTACGTTGTCACGTTGTCACGGCGGCGGGCGCGGGCGCGACGGTAGTCTTCGAGTAATTGCGTCAGTAGAAGGTCGTTCTACGTGACGCCGATAGACGCCGCGAGGCGGAAAAATGCGCGCGGTAAAAATTCGCAAGGAACTCGTCTCTCTCGTTTCTCTCTCTTGGACTTTATATTAATTCCTTCCTCACCTAAGTCGCAGAATTACGACGTTGTCGCAAATATCTCGTTAAAAAAAATTCGATTTACTTCTGGAAATGGTGGTTAATTACTGAACAAGTGTTCGTTCCACCGGGAGGATCGCGCGCGAACGTTTCATCCTGCATGCTTCCAACCGAGGAAATACCGCAGACAGGATTCACTAAAGGATCCTGTGGCAAAGATCGCTAAAAGAAGCTCTTACAGAAATTAACCCTTTCCCGTTTTAAAGAGACAGAATTTTAAAGATACTAGCGATGTGCTTCAACAACGCTCGTATTGAATCGCGTTCAATAAAATATCGATGCGCAAATGTACGAATAATTCTTTCATGAGATTTTTTTCTTGTTGGTGATCCACATAATTTCGGTCGGTTTTCTTAATCTGGTAAATACATTTTCTGGATTGTACACTGTTACACGTTGATAAAGCCTTAGTCGACATGAGGCAGGCAGCGTGAAAGAAGATTTAGGTGCCAGAAGATCCTCCGCTCGTCGAGGTGACGCGTTCTAGACACACTATTACGCAAACGAGTCCTGATATCTTTTGTTCTGCGAGAAGAAAACTTTGGAGCTTATAACAACTCGAAACTCGGTTTACGCCATGTATTTTCTTAACGCATAAAAGACATGATTGTGTAAACTGGTTTACACAAGGTATTAAATAACAACTTAATAGCGTCGTGAAGTTTACATTGAGAAGTTTCAAATAATTTTTAAATTTGAATTACTTATGTTTTATTGCGTCTCTATTCCTAAAAATTGTTCAAAAATTATTAATTTTATTTCTTTATTGTGCATTTCGCTTTATTTGTGAATTTAATTTATTTTATTATCTTTCTGAAATTATTTGGAGAATTTCATATTTTAAATTTGTGATAAATAATTTATGTAAAATATAAAATGTTAAAATGATGTACAGAAAAATAATATAAAAATAAAAAGAATATTAGTTATTAAACTTTACGTGTCAGTTTTAGAATGTATTATAATTGTTGAAATAATTATCAAATGAATTGAGCTAATTATTCACCGCCAAATCCGCACTTCTAAGTAAATATAATAACAAAGTAGAAATTATTTTAAATCTTCATTGACTTTAAACCATCGTATGAAAATTCAGATCGTTATTCAGATAATGTGAGTTACTGTAGATACTTTTAAACAAAAACGTTTTCGATATTGACAGAAATTATTCGATAAACTCATCTAATACCTCGCGATGGAATCGAGAAATTTCGAGATCGGCGAACCTGTTTACTCACATTAATAGGTATTATCGGCACTGCCTCTACAGCATGGTAGGATGATCACCGAACTATACCGCATCTCAAATAGCCTGATACGTTCCAATCGATTTTCATCCACCGCAAGTAGAATTGGGCGATCAATACTTATTGTTAGTATTCTCGTGAAGATTTCAATATCAGCAAATTAATCTTAATCAATTTACACACGTTTCTAAGATATCTAACGTATATTTATGATCGAGTAACTTCACACATTCATATAGTGACGCACTATAAATACACATACATTCAGTAGAAAACATTGTAAAAACATTGTGTTAAAAATGGTTTACTTAAATTCTTGTCAAATTTTGAACATACTCAAGTTTAATTTAATATTTAACGTAATTATGTTATTTAAATATTATGTTAAATTAATATTTTTTAAAATAATACAATTTATGAAAAAGTGAATAAATAATGTAAAAATAATATAGCTTTAAAACGTAAATTCTATATAGAGAAGATGAGAGATGAATGTGTGTGCGCGCGCCCGCATGCGTGCGTGTTAACATATCATACGTGTTAATTTTACTGAAGAAATAAGTTTTGATAATTTATTTCCAAATTGTGTCAAAGTGTTATATTTTTTGTGTTAATTTTCATATAATGTTTATTTTACCTTCTAACATATTCATTTTATGCTAATTTAATACAAAAATTTGGCTAGATTGGACATCATGTGAAATCTATTAAATTTAACACAAATTTTCCCACTATGTAATGTTGTAAAAAATTGAAAATATATAGAGATAGAGTATACAAAATTTTGGAGACTTGCGTATTTGCCGAGTAAATTTTAACTTTCTTACGGTGAATTATTAATTAATAAGAATGTATAAGTTTGAAACGACTTACAATTCAAAACTTGTTATATTGAGTGGAAATTATTTGAACTAAAATCGATGTATACCGCGTTACACAATCGTTCTTGTTCGAACAAATATGAAATTAATTGAGCGTATTATACAGTTAATGCAATCAATATGTAGTTAATTCAATAGGTACGATTATTAATACAATTGTAACGACAGAATGTGTTGTTATATCAACACAATGGCTTGATTGTCAAATTAATGAATTATTAACCACTTTCTTTATTATATATGTTTACATCGTAAATTTTTTTGAAATTATTCCGTACGTATTATTGTAATCTCTCTAAATAAAGTTAATATTTACATAGCGGAAGAAAGCTATGACTCAATTTTTACGAATGTTCCAATATTTTTTTACAAGAATAATTCTAATACACAAATTCGAAAGTTATATCCTAAAATAGAATGTTGTTCCAAATCGTATTCTTGTTATTCTTTCTGAATAAAATGTCGCTAGAATATCTATACTGCAGGTAGAATCGATGATATACACATAATATATTGGCGTAATTATAGCTGCGACAAGGCGGCAATAGTAAAAGTTAGCGTCGGGAATTTCTTCAAGTACCTTAGCGGCGCGCAGCGTGACTAATATCCCATCGTTTCTCTCTCGCGAATTAAACGAGCTCTCGACGTCTCGGTTCGTGTCGCGCGGCACACGAGGACTTGACACATCTCTCGTATAGAGACGCAGCGCGGACCGAAACGCGAGAATTCGGAGACTTGTATCACCGAATGACACACTCGTGTTACATCGTTTGATGCTTACGTCGCAGAGTGCCGGTGAATGAGGGCGCGTGGAAGGACGCACACGGGGGCCGACGACGGCCTTGAGGCAGGCTTGAACGGAGAAATATGGTGCACGAGGGCACAGGTCTATGGCACGCGGCGGGATTCAACGCATCCAAGTGGCTGATGATCATAATACATGGATACCGGGTCACCACCCTCGTCCTGTACATCCTGCTCAACGTGATGGTGCGCACCGGTGAGTATAACCACCTTCCGGTTTCCCCTTCGCCCAGGGGAATGTTTTTCCGCAGGTTTGTTTGCGTACGTCCCCCGCTCCCGTTCCGTTTGTCGTTAAAGCCGAGCGGATTCTGGCGCTGCGTAAAGTAGAGGCAGCTTCGAGCGCTGTTCGCATTGACTACCTCCTTTTGTTTTATCAACTTGACATCCGCGAATTCTCTTGAAAGTTTACTCTGTAAATATCACACTTCTTTCAGTTTAAATATTGGATTAAAATTTTTTTTATAGATCAATGACCACACGAAGATTATTTTAATAATAACAATGATAATTTAAAATTGGTCAAAATTAATATTATATTAATTTGTCATGCTTTAATTTCATTGAAATTCAAAAATAGACAGTGTTTAAAAAAATATATGTATGTGTGTGTAATATTTCATATATTTGTGTTTTAATAAACAAAAAAAACTGTATATAATATTTGAGTGATTAAAAAAAGAATAGGCGATGATTCAGGATATAATAATTGCAATTCTGGCTGATAAAATTATTTAAACAGTTACTTTACATTTCGAATTTTAGGAACTTTTTTTAAATTCCCTTAATAATTATAAATAATTGTGTGCCTGTGATGTGCAAGAATTAATGATTATTCGCATTTAATGAGAGTTTAACAAAATCTCGTTTAAAATTCAAGTATACCTATCTTGTTTATCTCTCGAATGTTGCAGCAACGATAAATCGACGTTGGCACTACAGGCGCACGCATGATATGACGATACATCATAGTTCGCCACTCAAAGGATTAATGCATTTAAATTACGTCCTAGTATGCACAGATATACTGCTGCATATCGATACGAGCATTAAAAGTGGAATCTGGCTGGATGCGTGTGTTCGTCATATTATGTTTTATGAATTCGATATAACATCATTCGTAAACAAAACATGATGGCATACTTACCACTCAACCACTTGCAGTGAAATTTATAAAGGGATTTATTTTTACATCAATTTTAATCACGCGTTATCGATAAAATTCCAATCATTCTTTAAAGTTTCACAACACTAATTCCTTTTTGAAGAAAGATCTCGTACATTAGTAATTATAATATAATTATCTATATGCGTCACAAAATCTTTGTTATTTATTCAAACAAAGTAAATGTTATATTGTAATAATGCATGTTATGATCGAATGCAAATTCGGCATTAAAATGTTTATCCAAAATATTTGCAACAAAATTGCCATGAGGAATGAATCTTATTCGAATTCCAAAATGCAACGTCAATGCAGGAAGATTATAATATTTTATATGGAAAACACATATAAAGATACATATATATGAAATAGAGAAAAGATATTCGGAGCATCCGCATCTCATGAAACGTGCATTCAAAAATGCAAAATTCCACGCACGCTGTACTGTTAAAAACACAAAACACAACTGCCGCTCATAGTAAAGTAGAATGGAAAAGTTTTGTTTTCTGGACCGCTGCAGACGCAATAAATAAGATAAAAGTTCTACAAAACATTTTGGAAAATTTTTCTGTTCCGTTTCACTTTAAATATCACAACGAATTTGTCTTCTTTTGTTTTGTATGTTCGAAATACATTTTGATTTTAAATCGTCGTATGAAATCTTTATATTTTTTGAATTTTTACGAGATATATACATCTAACCAATTTCTACATTGATGAGCAAAACAAATTGAATGATCCGCATTTATTTATAATATATACATATATGTATCCATTTTGAATACAATCTCAGCTAATTATGACGTTTTGCATCAAATTCGCAACAACAAGATAGATCGTGTAGCTTTGCACGAAACGGCAATTTGAAAGTAATTTGAAAGTGTATGATATCTCAAACCGAGTTCGTATATAGATTTAATCGTTAGATGTAGTTTTCATTATATCAGAAAAATGTCTTTATCTTTCTTACTTATGTGATCTATGAATAGAGATGTTACAATGCAAAATTTGAATTGTGAAACTTTAATTTAAGAAACGTCATTTTTATTGACAAAAATGCGGTTACTAGCTACAAACGACAGTAAAGGAGCTTGCAGTTGGTATTGGCTATTGTTACATCGGTAATTGTCACGCGAAAAGAAGTGATACAGTAGACAATGAATCTTTTGCTACGAAAAAGATCAATAGACGGATTATTGTGCTGTTTACATAAATGTTTTAGTAACATAATGATGCATTATAATATTGATTACACACACGTTTACAAATTTTTTAATATTACAAAAGAATCAATAACAGTATTATGTAAATATAGCATTGATTACATGCAGTCTATAAAGGGCACCTTATGTGATATAAATTTAAATTTAGAATGAAATGCAAATTTAGATAATGTAGCATGTTCTTTTTATAGACTACATTTGTGCTAAATAAAATTAAATAGTGAAAAATTTATATTATAATTTAATGATTGAGGATGTTGAACATTTGAACTGACAGCATCAAGTATTTTACGTTAAATACTTTTATTTTTTTTATTTTGACTTGTTTTGTGTTATTATTTCTTTTATATGATAGGATATGATTAAGCTTTTTGCTTTATTGGAATATATTTAGTTGTTCACATCTTTAAGAACATTTTATAAAAATAATTCAGAATATTATATATTTTTCTTAAGAGACTTTAAGCTTTATAATTATAAGTAAAATAAAGAAACATGTAATATCATATTGGAGATAATATTTTTAATATTAAAATGAGTGTCAGTGGTATAAAACTTGTGCTCTCTGTAGTGTAAAACTAGTAATGCTTTGATATAGTTTAGAAATCTTTCGAAACGCGCATGTGTTTTAATTTTATTATTTTTTAATTAATTTGAAAGAGAATAGCTAGTATTAATATTAAAAATGATTATTTTGATGTTGCTCTAGGCAACATCTAAGATTAACGACATGGACGTGATAGGGAAACATCTGTATATTGGAAAAAAGTCTAATTGCATAAATTGTAAATCTGATAGATTCAACTAGTATATGTCTGTTGGAAAATGGACGAATTAAAATTCTTCTAAAAATGATCAGATGAGTATGATTAATTTCTTTTTGTTAAATTATGTGTATTATTTTTAAATTTTAGTATATTAAAAAATATTACTTTATACAGTATTTTTTGCGTCTATAACTTGGCGCCTTTTTTATCTCTTTGAAAAATATAAATTTATGAATTTTTATAAGATAAAAAATCATTTTACAACATCAAAATAGAAGATAATAGCATTTATTACAATATCAATATCAATTAATAATTAATTTTTTATTATATTAATTAATACAAATTTAAATTAAAGAAACTAAGACTCTCATGAATAAATCAGAAATAACTAAAGATTGCCTATGTGAGCCGACACGGATGTTGGTGTATAATCATTTTTATTGTTACAATATCCAGTCACACACAAACTGCGCGTTGCATTTTTGTCTTGAAATATATTAATAATATTAAATTTTAATAATATTAAAATACATATATATAGTCGCACTTTGATAACTCAAATCTCAAGGAAAAAGCTAAAATCATCGAGTTATAAAGGTTTCGACTTATCGAAGTTCGAGTAAAAGAGGGTTAACATATGAAAACTCGACTTCGGAGGCTTTATACGAGAGTTTATAATTTTCCGATTATTATGGCTTTTAAAGGAAAAAAATTCAATATTTGACAGTGAATTACTTATTGCATACATACAAATGTAATCATAAAACAAATATCAGGCTATTACTTAAGGGGTAACACCACTGTAATGGATTTTCAAAAATCGATTTTTTTTTTGGGCTTAAAAAATCCTTTGAACCCTGTAGAATACGAGGAAAAACTTTTATACGTGAAACTAATTTTTTTCATCAAAATTCCGAGCTGTGTACCGAACGAGT